AAATAGGCTAAAACAAAGGTCACTAAACTTTTTCTGTAAAGAGCCAGATAGTAAATATTTTAGGTATTGAGACTCTGTTGCAGTTAYTCCACCTGGCCATTGAAGCACAGATCAATAGGTGAAAAACAATTGAGTGGCCATATTTCAATAAAATTTTATTTACAGAAGCTAAAACTAGATTTTCATGTAACTTAAACATGTCAAGAAATATTTTTAAAATTGTTTTAAACAATATAAAAATATTAAAACTATTCTTGGCCCACAGGCCATACAAAATTAATGGCAGACCATAGTAGGCCAGAGTTTACCAACTCCTGAACTAAGATAGTAATACAAAATGATTAACAAACATGAGAAATAAAAATTAGTGAAAGAGAGCTCATAAAATAGAAAGACTTGGAAAAAACAATAATAAAGTATAAAAGTACTTATTTTGTAGTGTGTCTAATTTAAGCATTTTCAATAGTCCCACAAGATTGTCTAATTAATACAGCTTGGTAGGACTTTATCTAATTAAAATTAGCTTTGTACTAAGTGATTAGCTACTGGGTAGAACAGGACTTAAAAATCAACTTTGTTTCAAATTTATATATAATTTTAAGTGTCCAATTGGATTTATGTGTTTTGACAAATATATATACCCATGTAACCATCTCAGATTATCAGTTTTCATAAATGGTTTTCTGAGAATTTAGGAGGGACAGCATTTTATCTAGAAATCTATTTAGGGATGACCAACATCTTAACTTATCTCTCCATATATTTAGGTCTTTAATTTGTCTTCAAAATGTTTTGTAAGTTTTATAGTATAGACCTTATATGTGTTTTATTAAATTTATCACTAAATTTATTTGATTTATTACATTTTAAAAATATATTTTCTAATTGTTAGTTGCCACTRTATAAAAATATTTACTTTGAGTTGCATTGTATTTCTCCATTGAACATTTCTTATATAATTTGCATTGCCCTGGAGTATGGACAGTTTAACTTTGTTCCTCTTCTCAGGAAGCAATATTTAGTCCTTAATTTTTCAGTGCAGTGAAAACTGAAAGTAGGGATTCAGTAGTATACATCTTTTTTTTCTTCTGCAGTGAAGAAATAAATACAGGCATTTAAAGTAACAATACAAGTGGTAACTGTATAGCTGAACTTAATTCCACAGAACTCTAATTGCAGCAGGTACCATTCTGTGGGAGTCAGTGACTAGCTGGAACAGACAGGGCTTCTCCCTCTAGTAGTTTGAGTGTGAGAATTCAGACACACAAGAGCAATRTAGTACATATGTACTTTATCTGCAGGTATAGAGACAGAGATGATGGACTCATTATCTACACTGACTGCCAGGCCTTCTGCCCCCTGACTCAATTTGTTGATGAATGTGACATTTCATGTTCCCTCAGGCCAGACTGGGCTGCAGACAGATTGCTTTTTGGCAAAGAAAGCATGTGGGGAGTCAGTATGGTGGAAATATATAGAAATATTCTATATAGAATAGAAATATTCTCTTAACCTTGTGTTCCCACCATCATCATCTATTTTTCCCTTTATAGTTTCAAGCAAAACTCTATTTTTATCTGTCTTCTTTTTATGGCCATCTAGTTTATTTAAAGAAAAAAATATGCCTATCTCAAAATTCAAAAAGCATTCTTTCAAACCATATTCTTAGAGACATGTGCTCAGCTAATGCAGTATTGGATTCAAATATCCTTAAACAGAGCTATCTATTGAGGATTTCAGTCAGATAAAGGGCCAATACCATATAATTTATTATTTTTATCAGTAATCTAGACAAAGGAAATGCAACTTCACATTTTATGTTCCTAATTGGTGCTACTGAAGCCAGAATTAGACAGGCAAATAGGCAAGGGGAATCAGAGAATGGAGAAGTTGAAATGTTAAATTCCTTCAGAGCCCTTTGTCAACCCTTATCAAGATAATCTGAACCTGCTCCAACCTGTTGCTAAAGTAACCTCTTCCAGGTATTGTCACTCCCTACTGGAAATTGTTAATTGCTCCCCCTTCCCACCTGGATGATTCCTCCTGGCCCCCTCAGCCCACCTGGCTCCCACTTTTTGGTCACCCCACTGAGCATTTCCTGGGCCTAGTCACTTATGTAGGAAAGAGAAAGATAAGGGGAAGAGAACAGGAGGAAAAAGGAAGCCTAGGACATATAAAAAGGCAAAACCCACTCACTTCTTGGGATACTAGGATACCARCTATGGCCCCCTTCTCTCCCCTGGGAGAAGTTTGTGTTACCCCTTTTTAAATAAACCCTGCCCTATATGCTTGCCATGTTGTGCTTCTCTAATATTATACTTCAACATGTGGGGGGGGGGGAACCAGTCATCAATAACCTGTAGTATCACCTGTTATTGGTTATTGGCACTGTCAATAACCAAATTGGAAAGCAATTAGATAAATTATATGAAAAGTCATTTAAAAACAAAATGAAACTTAACAGAACTAGAATTTAGGACTGAGGGCAATCACAACCAAAATGGAAACAACAGTATAAAAAATAAAATTTAAAGCAAGTCATCCTTAATTCAATAATCCTGTTGTTTAAAACGGGTACAAATAAGCCAAAGACAGTTATTATAGCAGACTAAATGACACATAAGAACAAGCCTTCTACTTTATTTGATTGAACAGTTTTTGGATAGTCTTATTTGAAAAGTTTGTTGAAAATTAAATAAGGACTAAAGAAGAACACAAAATACTAGATTATTCCTGTGAGAAAAGTTAACAGAAATGGAAGTATTTACCTTGAAAAGGAATAGACTATCCGTAAACTAATACTGCCTCAAAGGTACTAATAATTACAATAAATTGCTCTCCTGCCCTATAGCGGACCACTGTGAGAAATATGTAGAAATGATGGCAAGATAATTTGATTTGTTGTACACAAGTCATCTTGATAATAAGAAAAAAATGTAAATACTGGAACATCTAGCTAAAAGAGGTTATGAAGATTTTTCATCTCTAGACAGCTTTTATGTATTCTCTACCTTGATTCTTATATACTGTTTCACTGGCATATCTTCTCAAATATCTGTGCAGGGATAGTGAAAATGTAGGGCTTTAGTCCTGATAATACAATTGCCTAAAGAGCATGTGTCTTCTTTATATTATTAGTGCTTGTCTCCTTGATTGGACTCACTTACCCTCCTAATTTGGGATAAGTACTAATCCACTAGTCTACCCAGGTAAGGCATAAAACCTTTGCAAGGAGAAAAGAACTATTTGATAAAGTTTCTTTGTTTTTCACTTACTGTGTTGGTATAGCTTCATAGTTTCCAATCATATGAACAAAGTCTTGTATGCTGCTCATCAGTACAATGTTCCTCAGCTTATGACGGGGCTCAATAAATCCATTGTAAATTGAAAATATCATCTAAGTCAAAACTGCATTTAATACAACAAACCTACTGAATATCAAGATGAGTAACACAGTACACCATAGAGTATCTGCTGTTTAGCCTCACGGCTGGGTGGCTGACTGGGAGCTGCAGCTCTGTGCASCTGCTCAACATTGAGAGAGTACGATATCACATCTTGGCAGCCCAGAAAAAGATCAAACTTCAAAGTATAATTACTACTAAATACATGTAGCTTCACAACATTGTGGAGAAAAAAAAATTGTAATCATTTGGAGTTGGGACTTCTTTCTAATATCTATAACTGGTTTGCTTTCAGGTTTTCGCAAGTTCTGATATGCTAAATCTCATATCTTGACACTTTAACCACTGTCTTACAGACTCTTCCACCGACCCTGCCAGAATCTCCATTGTCATCCCTATGGACTTCTCAGTGTTATCTAACTGTAACTTTCAGGTCTATCAGCTATTATTAATACGTTACCCATATCTTCTTGCAACTTTTACTTTCATCCTACTGTGTTACTAGTACTTAAGTCCAGAAGCTTTCAGATGAAACTCTATTCATCCTTACAAATTACGCTCAGCAGTCCTGCTGAATCTTCTGACTGCAAGCACCTGCCACCCTGCCTGAGGGTTGCTTTCTTTGGCCACAAGAGCTTGACTGASCCTGAACATCAGGCCCAGGTACCACCCCTGAGAATAGCATTTAATCAAGGATGAATAGGTGGCTAAGTTTCCAGATTTTGTTCACCTCAGGTGAAATAATTCTGAGGTGTGTAATACAATACCTCCCAGAGTTCACCAGCAGGATCAGCCCCAATTGCCTGTGGTGATTCATAATTATACCTTATTAGCTTCCTTTCCATCCTAGTCTCACTTTTATTTGTTCCTAAATACACTTCTAATAACATTAATCCTTACTTAAGGGTCTGCATGCATGTGAACCTGTCCCAAGACTTAATATCTTTCATATACATATTTTGTTTCATTACTAACATTTAAATTAATTTACATAAACATTTGAGTAAAAGCATGATTGTGGTCTGTGTATATACAGTGTGCCTACAATGCATTCACATCGCTGGAAATGTTGCATGCATTTCCTTAAATAGACAACTCCCAGACTGGGAAAGTTCAAGAGTTTGCTGTTCCTGGTGGCTCCAGGTCAGATTTCTTGCAGAACACTCTGTGATTCTGTGATACAGGAAGAGAGGATTTCACTACAGAAATACCTTGTTTTAATATATTTTCTTATCAATTCCAACTTAGTAATAGGAAAGATACTTGCCATTTGTTAGAGGAAAGAAAGCAAATTACTTGATATATTTCTCTTTGCCTCTTGATCATGCCATGAGACACTTGTACACAATACATCTTATCATTTCTGCACATGCTGCAGCTAATATACTCATTTACATAAGTTATAACCAAATACATAAGTAGAATTATGGTTTGTGACAGTGGATCTGACTTTGGGGATACATATGAATTGCTGAAGTTCTAACGGATTTCAGCGTTGATATCAGAGAATAGAATAAACTCTTTCTTGCAACCATTCCAAGCATTTCAGATGATGAAGAATGTTGAAATAATTCAAGGAAAGTAAAGCAGACTTACCCGAATCATCATGACAGAACATCTGATATCATGAATTGTGTCATAGATCTTCTTTGAGATATCCACAAATTGATTATCATCAAATACGTTTAMGGAGTTCTTGTTTAAGGCTTCCAAGGCGACATTCACTTGTGTTACAAACTCAGGAATTACTATTAAAATAAATAAGAGAAAATTGTCTTTGTAATTGTAGGTTTCTATAATTTCCAGGAGTGTAGGGTTGTATTTTTAAATAAGTTATTTGATTAACTGACACTTAATAATTTTTAAAAGTAGAGATAATAAAACATTTTGGCAGGATTTTTTCTTAGATCTCTGAAAAGTAAAAAGGTATCAGAGACAATGAAACACATATTTATAGAAATATTTTTAAATTATCTATCCCTTTTATGTCATCTTTGTTATTCCCAAGCTTGAGACTATGTAGTTACTTATCATGTTCAATATAAATCTCAAGAAATAACAAAAAGGAATTGGTATGAAAAACAGAACTGTAAACATAACCGTATTTAAAGAAATAAAACATCTAAATTGCTAAACAGAAGAAACTAATTATAGATACTAATTCTGTTGTAAAATCAATAAAGATGCTGTAAACATTCTTTTGGTAAGATTTTTTTCCATACAATCAAAATATTGTTGAAAGAAATTGGTAATGTCATATGCAAACTATTTCTAAAACGGCATAACACTCAGTATAGGCATCAATGTATCAGCAAAGCMAATATGTAGATTGACCTTTTCTTTAAAAAAAAAATAAAGTTTCAGAATTAGTATCCAATAAAAAGATATTTCCAGATTTAAAAACAGTAACATTTATTAACCCTTCACTAGATTTAGGGTACTTTTCTAAGCCACTGTACCTGCCAGTATTATCTACTGTACTCCCTTCCTTTGTCCATCCTCTAGGCATGCTGCCCAATGATAATAACATCTAAATAGACATGGCTATTAAAAATTAAATTTGTAAACAGTAAATAAAATTTCATCTACTCAGTTACACTAAACCCATTTCAAATGTTCAGTTGACACATATGTGAACTTCCATTTTGAAAAATAGAAATAAGGCTACCATCACAGAAACATATATTGGCTAATAGTGTTGTAGAGTAAGATTCCATCAAATTGCTCTACTTTCAATGAATAACAGAGCCAAGGAGGAAGAAAACACATCATTTTTCTGAGGTGAAAGATTCCCAAATCACAGCTCCCAGCTACATGGATATGACTTCCAAAGACTCTCTAATTCAGACATATTCGTTGAAGGCCAGAAAGCCACACCAATTTTCCATTGCAAAAGTCTATCTGAATTTTTTACAGCACCTCAAACCTATCCTATATGAATCTAAACATGTTATTTTCTATCCAGAAAACCTAGATTTCATCTACTTATTTGTCTTAATCCATTTACTATTGCTAATAACATAATACTATACAGTAGATGAGTTTAAAGAGGCCCATGGTTTTGGTCCAAGGTCAAGAGGCCACATGTAGAGATGGCTTCCTTGGTGGCAAACCCTGAGGTGATACAGTTGCTGAGAGACAGGGAACATGTGAGACACCTGGTCAAAGTGGCTTTTATAGCAGACTCACTCTCAAGATAACACATAGCCTGCTAATCCATTAGTTAGTGGATTAATGGACTAACCCATTCATGAAGGCAGAACCTTGAATCACCTACTTAAAATTCTACTTAGTCCTATCTCTTAATGTCTCATTAAGGGAATTAAAGTTCAGCATGAGTTTTACAGGGAAGAAACCATATTCAAACACAGCATTGCTCTATTTTTATGCCCAGTCACTCATGAAAAAGCCCCAGCGTTTTCTTTGATCTCCTGCTCTGCTTTTCCTCCTATATTCAGATGCCCACTAAATGCAATCCTCTCTACCATAATAATGTCCTGAATCCATTGCCAATTTTAGCCCTACTTCCTCTCACCATCATTATCTTTTCAAGTCCACATCATAGTCCTTCCCCTGCTTAAATTCTGCTCATTCTTTAGACTTGTTTTTAAATACTTTATTGATGCCATTCTTAGCATTAAGTACAATAGTATTTGCCACAAAACACTACTAAATTGTTTCATGAATGAGTCATGACACTAAGGTTTACACATTTCCAATATTTCCTTCTATTTACCTATTTATATTTGATGTACCTAGCTCAGAAAGTAGTAGATAAATAATTGAACACATTAAGGGGATACAATTAAAGGAATGAATAGAATATATAAAAGCCAGGAAAAAAATGAAGCTTATGTTTAAGTTGTATTAAATGTAATATGAGTTACATTTTTCTCAAGTAAGGAAACTCCAAAAATATATTTAGTCAGGATTACAGAAACATTCAAAAATATTTAATGAGTTTATCTTTACTTGTGGTAGTACTGAAAGAAGAGAGAACATTTAAGGTGTGTCCTGCCAAGTTTTGGCATGAACAGTAAATCACCCACAAAAACCATTGCTTTCTTTGACATCCTTTCTTAACTCTAAACACAGTTAAGCACAAAGAAATGTGGTCTCAATAGCTGTCATGGCCTGTTTGCAAAACTGTATTCATAATCTTCCTTACTAAAAAGTATTTTTCTCATACACCAACAAGCGTGAAACACAATAATTCTATCAATTCCTTGAGCAAACTCATTTCCACAGTAGCAAAACTGCTCCCATTGTTTTCCCATGGCAATTTTGGCAAAAGAAAATAATAAAAAACATAAAGCCATGTAAACATCTAGTTTTCACTGTGTGAGATAATGTGAAAAAGATTTAGGGTAGTTTAAGGAAAATACAACAAAATCTTTTCATTATTGCAACATGATTTCATTTTAACTCCTCTAGGTTCCTTTTATTAATAAGCTAATATTAGCTCCAATTAAAATAAAATCTTTCACAAGCAAATGTTTAATTTCTGAAGTACAGATGGAAAATACAACTTTTTTACTCTAACTGCATAAATGAACTATTTGAAGCTGATATGTAATACATTTCTCATTTCATTAGCTTAAACATCAGCTGCTAGTATGCTTTACTTATACTGTGGACATATGGTTGCATGGATCAAACTAGGAGCAAATTTTTGTAATATTTTCAAGAAAGCACAAAGTGAATATAATGAAGTAGCCAGCTAATGGTAATTTAGAAGGAATAACAAATTGACAAACCTATCTTCAATCTATAATCTACTCAGGTTTAAAAAAAATAAGGTTTACATATAATATATAGTCATGCTTTACAATCATTGATCAAAAAGGGGTATATCTTAAACAAATTCATTCTAATCAATTGAAATGCCAGGTAGGATGAACTGTTCTGAACTTTGAAGGGGAAATTTTTGAAATAAAGAAGACCTCTGAGTCAATATATTTGGGACAAACAAAAGATCTTGCCTATTGATGTGGACAATTCTAAAACAGTTCAGAATTCCTGAACTGAAGTCTATACTTCCTCAATCACCTTTATTCAGAATATATACAATGATAGCTTAGCATTCATTATATCAGCTCACTACTGTGATAAGTATTTAATATGCATGCCTAATTTAATACTTACAGCAGCCCTGTGAGACAGGAACTGTACTATTACTACCCTGATTTAACCGATGAGGAAACTGAGGTCACACTGCTAATAAGTGAAGGGCAGGTAATTGAGACTAAAAAGCCTGCTCTCTGAACCCTAAAGCTGCACTGCCTCCTTTTAATAAGTGAAGTCCTTGGGGCTTCTGAATTGCAGTGCTCCTGGGGAAATTAATGTTAATTTTCTGACAATGAGGTTAACAGACCTATAGAGGCAAATTCTCCTAAGCCTTTTGCCTCTCTCTTGTAGTAACCCAAGAATGTTTTATCCCTTCTTAATCCTTGCTAAATTTATTATGTGCATTTGAAAGTAGACGAGGGTACATAATTATCAAATTAAATAGGTCAGCAAAGAATTCAGACTCATTACAGGTAATGATCTGAAATGATGTCACCAAGTTATGTTTTCTACCATTAATAAAACAGATTAAAATATTTCTAATTATATTATTATCTTTGAAAATTACTAATGGTAGAGAAATTTGCCTTTGAAAGTTCTCATAATGCTAAATCATAATTTCTTTATATTATGTTAAGCAACTGGGAATGAATTAATAATAGTGGAAACTACAATTAAGCATATGAATGACTTCTATAAATACTTCATTCCCTTCATTTTTCCCTTTATTGAACACTCATTATTGTGGTTCATATTTATTTAATATTTAGAGAGCTAATGTTGTATAACAGGAAAGTGTTTGGTACCTCACAGATTATGTATCCTGAAATCCATGGGGAGGATCTCACCACTTTTTAAATGATGTRTCATAAAGGACTGACTCACTCTGATCATTTATGACACATCACACGGTTAACAAGAGCCACACTCTGACCTCTCTATTACATCCTGCCTCCATCTTTTAAGCATCTGGAATATCTCCAAAATGAGAGAAATAAAATAAAAAAAGAAAGAATTTTAAGACCCATAGCTTCATGAAGCTGATACTATTTTTTCTTTCTTCTGGCAGAGATATTTTTCTACATATGAAAGTCTGAACACTTAATTAGCCTGAATGTCCACCTTCGGATCTGTCCAGTGACTTAGAAACTTCYTTCCCTGGGGCTTCATCTTTAAAACATATGTTAATATTAATAAGTCATATTTCTTGATTTAAATATTTTAGAAGTTTATCCAATGACTTTTAAACCTAAGATTTAACTCATACTTTTCCCCACATTATTTTCCTATTTCTTCACATCACAATGTGCACAAAAGTGAATACTTGATTATTTAAAGTTGGTCCTGTGCCAAATAATATGCTGACCTTTGTTCTCTGACATACCTCTTTGTTTTAATGCAGGGAATAAATTGGCTMTTTATTTAAAAGAATGCTTACTCTTTTTGTGCTACTTTGAAGGCTTGTTTAAAATGACATTGCAGAATCCATTTTGGTCCCTCTCTCTTGCATATTACTTGCTTTAGGAACTTGAGCTGTTATGTTGTAAACTATGAAAAGACTCACATGGTAAGGAACTGTGGTGACCAGTCAACAGTTAGCTAAAATATGAGGACACAGGCCAACAGCCAAGTGAGTGAAATTGGAAGTAGGTACCCTTGCTCCACTCAAGCCATTAGGTGA